TAAAACGTAGAGAGCTTTGCTTATAGGAGGGATATTTTGAAATATAGTATTTATAATCATACAGTTGTAAATGAATTAATTATGTAAAGTTTGGGGATTTACTCTAACTTCCTACATTAGGACAGCCTTGTTATGCTCTCATTCACTCACTCATCTCTCTGGCTCTCTCTGGCTCCTACTCTATCAGCTGACAGTGGGCGATTTCGCCACGGCCTCCCTCAGCCAATCATATATTTCCCGTCAAACTTTAAAGACCTGTTCTCTTCTGTGCAGTCAGCTGTCATTTCAGTACGAACCGATGTGACCCTCCTCCCCATTCATCATCACATCCGGTGCTCAAGGTTTCTTCCACTGAGGGCAGTCCCACTCTACATGCCATCATCTAGATCTTCAGCCTGCCCCTACTGTCTTCAACAACTCCACCAGTGTCGACTCTCCAAAATTTTAACTTTGCTTTGCACAATTTAATAAATGTATTTGTTCACTGTAAATTAAGTTTCTCCTGATTTAACAACCTGTGTCTCCCTGTATAAGTGTGTCAATTATCTCCCGGTGGCTTCAGTTCTCCTATTTATTATGTTTTTTGTGATGTATGTCATGTTATTTCAAACTAATTTGCAATCATAAGAAGCGTGGTCTTTGTTGGTGAAATGTTTCTTACGGTATATACAAAGAACAATTACTTATCGTAAAACTCCAAAAATATAGTAGAGTAAAATCTTTTAGGTGTGTTTTCTAGAAACTACAGGTCTGATGAGGAAAGTGGGAACAGGTGTGTAGGTGGGAGGGGATGTCATGTGACCAAGACTGGCAGGTCTCAAGAGTGAGCAGGGGCTGGAGAGAAGGACAGGCAAAACCACCAACCCACTACAAAGTCTCTGCCCTCCCTCGAACTTCTCAGACAGTTTAAAGCTCACGTAGGTTCCCCAAAATACAATGACATTGATTAAATCAAGATAGGTATACATTTATCATCATGCAAAATGTTACATCTTACACATGCAGGATTTCTCCTCGTATCTGTGCGATGTGGTGAATAATTTCAACCTGTTGGGCTACAGCATTTAATATGACAAGCACTTGTAGGATTGCAGTGTAACAGAAATTAAATTCAATACAGAGCTGGGAAGGCAGCCAGACGTTATCTGGTGCCTTGCCATCCATTACGATGACAGACATCAAGGGCATTATGGATCACTGGCCAGCAGTCTACCGTCTGAGGTACAAAGATGTGCATTAAGCATAGAGCATTTCTACCGGCAACAACTGTGCGTGACCACAGTACAGGATCTAAGTTATGCCTCATGAAGCCTTTACATGAAACTGTGATTTCAAAACAATAGGGGGAGCTTCTGCAGTGTTCAAACAAGAGTTTGGCTCAAGGGATGTTGAATCTGAGTTTTTTTTACCTTAAACTCAAAACAGAGGGATTAAGTTGATGTTCATCCCTACATGTAGTTGTCTTGTAACCTTGTAATCCTTGGAGATTACATCTGAGTGAGCAGGTTAATCAGGGAAGGAATTTTTTTGAGTGACTGAAAAAGTTACGATTTAGAGATGTGAGGTTTTCAACACCAACGACATGCACGTCACTGCCATCCTCTCACATCAAAGACTAGCATACTGTATTCAGTCCAGCTGTGAGATGAGAGCCACCAGATGTTGCTGCTGCTGTGGCGTTATGTAAATCAATGGAACCTATAGGGATTACTCTGACAGTCACATGGGTATGGCCGCTGTGCTCAGGGCTCGAATACAAACACAAACAGATAGCGGATTACCCACAGGATTTGCAGAGTAAAGCTGTCTTTTTAAGATGAGTTTGGGATATTTCTGCTTTTGCTGGATGTACAGTAGAAAAAGGACATGTGGCACTGGCTATTGTAAATGAAAGATGAAAGGGACTTGAACCCAAGATGTTGTGGTGCAGCCAGTGCTGTTCTCTGCTGACTCAGAGAGTGGCCTAAAGCGGTCTTAGTCCTGGAGATAAATGCATGTTGGTGGCGTTTGGTTTAGCTTCATTTGCCTGCATGGTTTTTTTAAGAAACGCTTTCATGATGGAGCGGCCAGAAGGAGTCACACAAGCGCCTTAAGGAACTAACGTGAATATTGGGAATGATGCAAAAACATTTGTATGTTTCACTTTTTCATTCAGGAAGCCAGCAAGAGAGAGACAGACTTTACTGGGAGGCAGCTGCAGCTACAGTGGATCATTATCATCTGCTTCATTTGCCATTGATCACTTCAACATCACTGTTATTAATCATGTACAGCATATTGAATCAATTAGAAAGCACACTGTGCCATATACTTATTTAGATATTCAAAAGTCTGAGCATTTCTCTTCCTCCCGGTGCGGTATCACTTATTGTCTCCACATTATTGACCGATTGAGATGTACTGCAGACGTTACTCAGAGGTGGGAGGGGACAGGAATGGATTCATTGCTGGGAGAGAGCCACTAATACAAGGATGACCTCACTTTATGTGAGATGCTTTACAAGAGGAATGCTGAGCCAACAGGGGGACTGGATAGCGTCGCTGAGAGGTGTAGAAGGAAAGGTCAAAAGGCAAACGCTTTTCCTTTGTAGAAGTAGCATTTTATTTCGTGTTTTACGTGGTTATTTTATTAATTTTCTTTCTGAAAAGGAGCCACACAATCAATCAAAGAAAGTTAGAAGTCTTGATTGAGCAAGGGACACTGATTTTTATGTGAAGTTGTTCAGCTCATGTTCAGACTTGCTGCAGGGGATGAGAAACAAATTCCCTCTGGCTTAAGATATATAAAACACATTTTGAGCAAGCAAATCCACTGGAAGTCTCCACAGAGTTGGCTTTGTGTCAAAGAGTATTCAACAATTTAAAAAGTGCCTAGTAAGCAATCTAGATATGACTCAGAGCCCTGCATTTGGTGTATAAAGCAGTTTGCATTCCAGTGAACACTGCAATATAATAGCGACACAGCAATATATAAAGTAATTCTACAGTATATGTGATGTATGCTAAGAGACTTTCAGCACAGTATAAAGAAGACAGACAAAGTGTACTTACAGCACTTGTCTGATGTGCTCCACAAGTATTTCTCATCTTTAAATGTTTTACTCATTATAGGTTTTAAAGGTCCCGTCGCTCTTCAGATGTTGTTTTGACCGTGTTGACTTCCTGGAAGAATGAGCTTCTTGGTCTCCATCAGCAAAATTATTAGGAATAGCATTGATTTAAATGATGACTACATTTGAACACAGAGCACCTGAGGTGTTACTAATGACATGAATGATGATCCCTGTTTTATTCAAGTGTACCAGTAAGTCATGGCAGTGTGCTGGAAGCCAGGAACACACATTTACACGTTTTAAAAAACATAATTACAGTGAAATTACCACAAACCAATTGCAATACAGTGAAACTATGGCTTTTAGGCATATGTAGGCTACGTATTCTAAATATACAAAATGTAACAGTAGCCTATCTATCTATCTACCTCTCTCTCTCCCTCTCTCTCTCTACAGACAGGCAGGGGGCGTTGAGAGGCCGCTATAGTGAGCAGCCCGTGTGTCTGCACAGAGTTGTGTGCTGGCAGGAGGAAACTGATCGTGGCACAACAGAGATGTAGTGTAGAGTGTATTGGGACTCCGTGGTGGCCAGCCGTCTGTCACTTTTACCGGGGATCATTTGTCTGACGTTACCGAGGAATGGGAAGGACCGGGATCTATTTTGTTGCACAGTTAACGTTACAATGCATGGATCTGTCGCGTAATGCGACCGAGGAGAGCTGCCTCTGAGGGGAGATATTTATGTTTCGGGACGGTTTTGTTGGAGTAGCTAGTTGCTAGCGCTGGGCTAGCGACTGTGCCGACTACTTCGTACTGTATTTGTTAAGGATGCTCCGGTGGATACGACAGCAGCTGGTAAACCCACTCTCCTGACGTTATACCTTTTTTTTTTTTTCTCGCTGGCACCCGTTAGCTCACAACATTAGTCACATAAACCAGTTTTCGCTCAGGGAAAGCGGTGTAAACTTTACTTGGATAACATTTGACCAGCTAGCCTAGCCAATTAGCTGTTGACGGTGTGTCCAAAACATTTGTTGTGCGCCTTTACAGCGATGACAGTCAGGTGTAGGTAACGCTAATGTTAGCTACCCTCACAGTTAGCCACCGTTAAGTAGCTGACAACGGGTTAAGCCATCTAAGCTAGATAAAACATTACTAACAAACAGACCGGCTTGACCTTACATTTGAGTTGTGAGTTGATTTGATGTTCGCTTGCAGTTTAACCACATATGAATCGTGTCTAAGAGTTAACGCTAGCTAGGTGGCTAACCACGTAAAACTTGGCAAAGTTAAACAGCGTCGCTAACTCCACTCCTAACATTTATTACCAAACACCGCTCTTAGCTCAGCTCATATACTGACTTATTTATTTGTGCCGAGAGAGCCAACAAACTCACTTTAACAGCTGCTTATATATTAGTTTCAACTCACGAACTCGATAACTCTTTTTTGATTTAACTTTCATAAATCCTTTGGATCTGTCTTTAAATAATACAACGTAATCCACCGGCTAAAAGTGAACGTTAACCGGTTTTGAATGATCAGAAATGAGAGCATCCTGTATTTGCTGTAATCACCTGTTGTTTGCCTACAAACAAGGCTGTGTGGTGACGCCTTGATCGAAAGCATAAGTAGAGCAGTTAAGCGACACCTGTAGACGCACCGAGTTATGAATTATGCCACAGGAATGGATGATTTGTTTTCCAACAATGCTGCAATGGTTATATGTTCGGATAAGAACCTGCATTGACATTCAGTATAGATGAGTTGTGTGACTGGTAGTTGGGTGCGTGCAGCATGTGAGAGGGACCAGCCCATGTGAATGAATGAATGACGTAATGCATGTTATAAGATTAGTCACACATTGGTCAAACAGCCAGTAAGTTTAATCAATGTTGAGGTGTTTCTGAGTCCTTGACTACACCTTTGTACTTTGAGTTGGGGTGAAGTGACTATTGGTCAGCTGCAAGTTTGTCAATCTGTTTTCTTTCCGCTTTTAGAAGTTAACTTTGGTCTTTTATTAAAGAGCACCACAGAGAGTTGGACTCTATAAAAACAGTAGCCTCCTGCTAATTTGAGAGGGCCCCGTTCATTTGACCCATCCCTTATAGTTGACCAGTTAATTACAAAGGCTAATTAATATGCAACTGGCCTAATGAAGACGTTTGAGGGGGAGGGGGGGGGGACATTTGTCTGACCCTTTATTTCAGCTGATTTTTATTCTCACATCTATTCCTGTGAGTTTCTCTCTGGTGACAGTGGTCCACATTTAGGAGAAAGATTCTGAAAGACTTTAAATGTCAGTCGTCCTCTACAACGTCATGCTAATAATGCATTATAATTACAGCGCAAACAACGGCAACTGTGAAAACCCTTTCACATCCTGTTCTGCAAGGTTGACGTGGAAACGTTTAGTTGTCTCCAGTATCAAAGCTTCATTTCCACAGCAACATGTTGCATGTTCTCTGACAGCATTGCATATCCTATGAAACATACGAAGATGTAGAAGCCACGACATATGAAACTAATTGATAATATACTATCAAGTTACATGCAGTGCATGCTTAGAAAAATAATCTCTGCAAATATATAGTTTTATAAGAAAGATGCTTAATGTGCAACTAAATGTAACTCTGCAGTGAGATAATATAACCTCACAGTGTCCTGATTTCTGCTTCCTTGTTCCTTTTTGAGGAAAATGAGCGTGTCGATACGGTCGGGTGTAACGCGGGACCATAAGACTGAATGTCATTTTCTTTGCCAAAGCTGTGGCTGAAGGCATTATGTTTTTGGGGTTGTACAGATTTCTGTCCAGATGGTTGTGAATTTCTTCAAATTTGGCCCAAATGTCCACCTGGACTTGAAGATGAACTTAATCGATTTAGGGGGTCAAAGTCATCTTCGTCCCTTTCTCATGTAGAATGTAGCTCTCTTTGCTCTCGATAGGTATTCTCCATCTTAATGTCAGGGCTCCTCGGCTGAAACCATATTGAGAACCTCGTCTTCATGCATCTCCCTCTCTCTAGCTCTGATTAGACTGTGATATGACTCAGTGCGTCGACTGCGTTGTGATGCATTAGTCTGTCGCCCAGCCATTGTTCAAGGCAATGCTTTCCCCCAGGGCACTGTGGGACTTGTAGGCTGTATGTAGGGAGTAATTACCCGGCTGCCTACAAATTGATGGGGGCACGAGAGTCAGGGGACAAAATAAAAAGTCTGATTTCAGCTGCGCAGTGTTTACGTAAAAGCCAAATAGAAACAGTTTCTACTCTGTTAGTATTATTCATTTATTTATTTATTTTCATTGATATACTGCCACAAATAAACGTTATTCTCTTCAAGGTAATGGCAAATGTGGACACTCCAACTTTGACAGTTCAGTTGGAAAACAAGTGATACTTTCACCTCACTGGTGTACTCAATGAAATGGTTAAGTGTTGTATATGTACCCATCTGTCAGCCAAGTATGACTCAGCTCTGTGCAACTGTTCAGACGATAATAACTTCAAACAAAAATGATTTCAATATTGGGAACTGTTGGTTTCCGTAGTGCAGCACCGGTGTATAGAGCCTTCAGTGCAAGATTTGAATCAAGTGCATGATGCAGCATGGCCCTCTTTACGTGTAACATGTGATTGTGTTGTTTTTAGAATTATGTACAGGTAAGCCTCATTTGCTTGATGTAACAGATATATTGTGAACCATTGTTGTCATTTTATACATGCTGCCTCAGGAGGAGCATGAAGCTCAGGGAGTTGATAGGCCATAACAAAGTAAATGGTCTTAAATCTTGATTTGTAAATATTCATGGCATTTCCCATCTAGTACTTGCTGACCAGCCCTCACTTCTCTTTCTTTCTTCCATTTTTTTACTAATAACATCCAGTAATCTGCCTTTTATTTTGTACATAGTGTTTATTATTTTATCTAGGTTATTTTTAGTCATTTTTCCATTGTTTGTTATACTGTATTGTGTCTGTGTTGTTTGTGTAACTTGAGTGGACTGTGCTACTGCCTCTTGGCCAGGTCATCATTGAAAATGAGAATTGGTTCTCAATTGATTTTACCTGGTTAAATAAAAATAAATAAATAAAAAAAGAGGTTTAACACCTCGGTCTTAAAGATAGTCGCGGTGTGAGATTGCTGTACACAGTATGTCACATGATACTGTTGTTGTGACAGACAGATGGATGCCATTTGACCGTTTCGAGTGTTTCTGAAGTGTGTATATTCTCTTCGTGTAGATTCGTCAGCGTGCATTTGAAATGTATCCGCATCAGCTACTGTTAGCCTGTTATATCACCTTAACTATGCACATCTGTGCTTGTGGTGATCGGGACCAGAGACAAAGTAGCAGAGGGGACACTAGCCAATAGAAACATGTTCCCTTATCAGCCAATCTCTGGTTTTGATCCATAAATCGATAAACTTCGACTGGATGTAATCAGTCTTCTGTATGTCACCGGCTAGTTCAACAAGAAGCAGCAGAAACTCACAGTGGGGTCTTTTCAGTGTGGACAACAGTTACTATATTCAAGCTGCACTGCAGTGCGCTCAGAGCCATTGGGTACGGTACTTCCCTAAATTTCACAAGGTCACATCTTTGTTGCAGTTACACATGGTGGATTGTATGTCGTGAGCAAGTTACTGTTGGCAAGGATGTTAATTATTAAGCAACTTAACTGATGGTTGATTGATGTGGTGGTGAGCTAGAATCTTCTCAGACTGAGAATGAGACATTTCCCCTCTGAGACACCATCAAGGCTCCTTACAGTACACTTATTTAAGTAATGTGTTTTCTATAAAGTACAAAATTGCCCTAATCTGTGTGTTGGGGATGTAATAGCGTGTTGATCAACCCCAGTGACTCAACAACTGGTTTGTATACATTGCTTTTAAAATCCTGTGTTACTTAATGTCTGTTTGAATGTAACCAGTGTTAACAAACACACACTTCTCCATTTCCTGCTGCAGTAGTGAATACAGCGCTGCACATGCAGCTGTGCGATCGTGATGCAGGATGTTGCTTTGAAGGAGCAATATATACGAGGTTCAGAGCATTAACGGAGCTTTAATCCAGCAGCAGAGTGGAGTAATGTGATACCTGGAGTAATACCTGACCAAGAGAATGAAGTGTGTGTGTGTGTGTGTGTGTGTGTGTGTGTGTGTGTGTGTGTGTG